TTTGTCCATCTTTGAACAGGCATTGAACTGAAGACTTTTCCAAGAGGTCTTAATGCTAAAACCATCTGCCAGCCATACAGGAGCATGCACAGATGGACAGACAGAAAGAGCATCCACACTAAAGGGGAAAGGATTTCAGGGGGGTAGGGTGGGGGCAGATTGAGACTCCCACATTGAGGGCAGGAGTTGGGCAGAGGTAAAGGCTGGGGTCAATGGGGCCCCAGCTGAGTCAGGTGGTGGGACAATCAGAACCTGGGCAGCTTGTCCAGGGACGCAAAGAGGCTGCTGCCACTGCGCACCCTGGCGGAGGCTTGGGGAACACATGCGTGGGGAGGAGGCGGCTGCTGCTGCATGCTGCGCTTTGCACCCAACTGCAGCTGCCCTGGGAGCAGCGCAATGCCCCATTCATCCCATTGCCAGGTGGGCAGGGGCGCAGCGCAGCGACAGCAGGCACATGGGGTTGCGCCACTCCCAGGGCAGCTGCAGTGGGGCACAGTGGCAACTACCTCCACCCCGTGCACAGATCGAGGGGACACATGCCCCCCAGGCCTTATCTGGGGTGCGCACAGTGGCAGGAGTTCCCCGGCACCCCTGGATGAGCTGCTTGAGCTCTGATTGTCCCATTACCCAGCCTGGCCGGGGCCTCATTCACCCTGGCCCATCCCTGCCTCTGCCCCACTCCCTCCCTCACTATTGTGGCTTCGAGCTGCCCCTCCCCCTGACCCTGGTGGGTGGGGGGGGAAGGAGGAGGTAGAGCACACATGCGCATGTGCTTAGCCCCCCCAAATAATTTTTTCTTCCTCTGCCTATGGTAAAAATTGATAATTTATGACTACTTTGTACTATGCCAAAATTTCACATTGCCTGGCTTTTGAGACTACCCAAGTGGAAAACTTTGTTTTTTGTTTTTCAGAGTTTGAAGTGATCTAATCCAGTCTTTTTCTTTTTGGGGGGGGGGAGGGGGTTTGGAAATATAAAATTTAAAGCCCAGAAACAAGTTGGATGAGGATGCTAGCTAATGTTCATTGTTTACTATGTATATTTTACATGGAATGTTTCTTAATATTTTTAGGTGAACATAAAAAGTGAGAATGTGAAATCGGATCAACCCAGATCTTACCCATGCACATATAAGGACTGTACTGGAAAAGAGCTTTTACCAGTTGTATGCCCTTACTGTGAAAAACAATTTTGCTTAAGGTGAGCAGAGCAAAATATTGAAAATTGTGTGTTCTTTCACTAAAATGGGGAACACTCAATAAGAGTTTTCCATTCTATTTTTGATAGACACCGTCATCAGTCAGACCATGAGTGTGAGAAACTGGAAACTCCTAAACCTCGAATGGCAGCCACTCAGCAGCTAGTTAAAGATATTATAGGCAAGTACGGTAGGACACCTATTGTATCATTGTCTTCAGTAGGTTGCTTGGGATTTTGTATTAATCTAAAGAAGACAGAATGAAGGTTCTTTAGCTAGATGCCCCCTGCCATACATATGGTGAGCAGTTACATATGGTCCTGCCCTTATATGTGGAGGCTAAACACAGTAGCAGATGTCCTTAAAGCATATTCTGGAAACCCAATGGCATCTCTGGTTCATCAAGAACACAGGATGAAGTCAAAGCTGGCCAACTGTAGATTGTATTGGTATGAATTCTGAATTAATATATATATTTGTTCTATATATTTACATACAGTTTTTCAACAAGATGTATAACATCACCAATAATTGTTTGCTCACTGAATTGATATTGGATCATGATTCATTAATTGTAATATTAATCAGAAATTTACCTAGCAAAGATTGCTAAATTTGTTAATATTATGCAGTTTGTGACAACATCCAGAGTGAATTTTCTGCATTGTTATTATTGTTATTGTTATTAATAATAATAATAATAATAATAAAACTAGCCATTGATACAAAAGTTGTAATAACAGGTGGAGTTTAGTGATATAAGGAGGAGTGATATTATCCAGGTTTGACTTCATGTATATAGATTGGGCTCAGACCAGGCTGGTAATTCACCAGATACGTAACCCTCATACTAGTAGAGCTTGTGCAGGGGATTTCTTTAAGGCCCTGTGGGGGATACTGATGCTGGGAAACAGGAGAAAGACTCATACTATTCCCCCCCTCTCCCCCACCCTCCAACTCATTTTACCTCCTCAGTGGAACAGTACCTCAGCAATACCATGTGTTGGCACATTTAGAAGCTTGAATTTTTACCTCTTGTCATTTTATGTATGCTCCCATGGGGCTGCTCGACACCTCGGATAAATGTAAAGGACATGGTTACTTTCTGCTGCCCTGCAGCATTTTTCTGAACAGCATTTTTCACCTAGTTAGCTATTTTATTAGGACTGGCTTAAAACTCTCAAAGTACTAGTAGCTGTCCAAGTGCATGGAGGGAAAGAGTCTGTTTAGATCTAATTTAGCCTATAGCATTGATCTCCAAATACCTTGTGAAAATTTGAGTAAGTGGGAATTTTATTTAATTGAAACAAAATGTGACTCTCACTAATATTTAGAAATGATATTTTCCTCAGATTCTAAAAAAAGGGAAGAAGTAAAAAGTAAGAAACGAAAAGGAGCAAAAAGCAGTGAAACAGCAGCCAAGGTGGCACTAATGAAACTGAAAATGCATGCATGTGGGGACAAGTCCTTGCCACAGGTCAGTCATACTCAGATGCTTTGTAATGACATACATATTTCTGATCTGCTCCAGCAAATCATTTTACCTGTAGCTAGAAGCAGTTTTCTAGGCTCTTGCTGTTGATATTACTTTCTCATTTACAATGGGAAAGAATATTTAATCTAAAAAAGGGAATCCGTTTACTGAATTTTGTTTCTGAACTACCCCGCAGATCCACAGTCCTTTATACAGGCATTTAATTCTATACACACAAGTAGGATCAGGGCTTGAATCTCATATTTGAAAGCAAATCTTCTAGTATTGTGAATGAGAGAGAACATGGATATATCATGTACTGTTTAAACAGCATGTTAATTTGCATCACTAAGCATGAACCCATTGCCATGTACAATAAATCTGGAAGCTGTCCTCTGACCCTCTGCCCTCCAGAGGAAGTACTGTACTAATCAGCTCTTCCTGCTTTGCTGGTATCTGCAGTGTACAGTTAGTACACCCTTGTGCTAGTTGAGATGAACTGGTTTCATATTTGGCCTGAATTTTGAGTTATATAGGAGAATTATTTTTTTCCTAGCTATGTGGACATAGCTCATTATATAGTCATGATCAGTAGTCTCCATTGCTTAACAGATTTTTTGCTGTTCTGTGTTGTGGTGTCTATTCAAATCAATCATTCCTTTTTTCCAAGTAAAGATATTTTTTTCCATATCCTCTTTACAGGCTTTTATTTTAGATCAATACTTGTGGTTCATCTGAATATACATGCTTTTAATTATTCCTCACATTTATTTTAAATTCTATAGCATATAGACACTATGTCTCTACTGTGGAATTTGTAATGTTATATATTGGCCATAAAATATACACTGCATTTAATCTTTATGTTCATTACTTGTTCTTACTTAGTAGGATTTAATTATTATTTGCAAAATAATTAAAGATACTTCCTCTCTGAATCCTGTTATAGATACTTTTTCCTCTGCTAAAAATTACCATATGCCTGGATTGCAAATTAGATGTTTCTGCTTAGGTGGCAGTCATAATGTGAAGTCCTGCTTCTAGCAAACTCTCAGATTATGTCACTTTAATAGATGTACGAGTTCTGTGGTGTGAAGATGGTGATTAATTTTTTAAAATGGAGAACATAATGTACAAAGTCTGTTTTTTGTTATAAGGAAATTAAAGGCCTGCTCCCTAATTCCAAAGACTGGAGGCTGCAGCACAAATAGCTGTCTGTTAATTCCTTTCATTATTCATTTGCTTAATTGGATTGTAATTGTTTAATCATCTAGAATACTGATAATAGGCTAATTTATCACAGATGCAATTAATCTCAACCTCCAGGTTCTCTCTGTTTAATTCCCTCCTCAGACTGTCTCCAGCTGTCATTGTGCACTTCCTCCTTCTGTTCCAACTCTTCCTTCAGTTTGGTGACAAAATTTGAACGAGGAATTCCTAGGATGCCTCGGGCACCTCAGAAAGCTGGTTTAGGCAAGCTCTTAGGTTTTTCTTATCTATTTTTTGATCTTTTACTTGAATTAGGATGATACAAGAGTAGCTTTTCTGTGCATGACTTTTTTCACAGTGCATCTCAACTTCAAAGGTAACACAAATTACTCAAGCTTGTCTGCTTGAATGTATGTGGCCATACCACTAAAAAAACCCTGAATTACCGTCCTTATTGGCGCAGTGTTGGGTGCAGCACCAAGAGATCTGGAGGCCATCCATGGTTCCTAGTGCTGCAGTAAATTGGGGTGCTCTGTGAATTTTGCCCCAGTGAATTTTGGGAGACCTTATCTGTCCTTTCTGGGCATGCAGGGAGGACTCATGGGAAAGTAATGATGGACAAGCATCACTTCAGTGATACTACAGACCGAGTTTGTTAGCTTGTGAGCCGGGGTTACCTAGGTTTTAGTCCATATCCACTCTTTATCTAGCCTAACTTGAGTAAAGGCATTGCCACTCTGTGCCAGAGCCTCGTTTTGAGCCATTAGTCATGCTGAAAGCTAGTTCTGACCTATGTAGGGGAGGCACAAGTAGAGCTAATGGGGAAAAATAATTACTTGTTTTGCTTAAACTGAATTCAGTTAAGCCTCGGTAAAAGCTGACCTAACTAGCGTGTATATGTAGACCACAAAATAGAAGTTCTTCCTGTGGTTTTATTGAGTTCTTAATGGAAACCAGCCATAAGAATAGGTTGTCTCTACCCCTTGTTTAAATATACATCTTAAGGGAATGACGATTTCGATAGTATCCTCTCTTATAAATTTGTCAATCACACGGAGATCTGAAGAGATATTGGTTGCTAATGGGAAGAGGAACAGAGTGAAAGTTGAGCAGCTGGTGTAGACAAAAGTTCTAGTTTGTGAATCAGCTGGCATGTGGCCTCCATTAGAGCTGACTGCTATTTTCCAGCAGTCTTTTGTTTGCTTTCTGTGAGGGTGAAACTGGACTGCTACAAAATGCCAGCACTGGAGCCCAAATGGTGCTGTTTAGGTTCCCCCTTTCTCCTTCAAAAAGTAGTCATTAATTTAGTATGTATCTAGTGTAATATGGTTCCATTCTCAGTTGAAGCCTTTGGGTACTGCTTCAGTATAAAATTATTAATACTGTGTGAATCATCTAAATTAAGACCACCAAATATATAAATGTGTGCGCCAGTGTGTACTAATAAAACCCCAACTGACCCATATGTAAATTTATGTTTTTCACTGTCTCTTGGCAGACGGAAAGAATTTACTTCCAAGTGTTCTTACCTAAAGGAAGCAAAGAAAAAAGCAAACCCATGTTCTTTTGCAGTCAGTGGAGTATTGGCAAAGCAGTAGATTTTGCAGCTTCGTTAGCAAGCCTAAAAAATGACAACAACAAATCAACAGCCAAGGTAAATCACTGATATTGGTTTTCATGTAATAAGTTTTAATTCTCTCCTTTTTTGCATAGATATGAATTTAACAGCAAGATTTGCTGTGTGTTTCCCCTCACAGAAATTGCGTCTATGTCACACTGTATCTGGAGAAGTGCTGCCATTTGACCACACATTGGAAACCTGGATAGCTGATAAAGAGTGTCCGTTATATAACGGTGGAAACATTATTCTGGAATATCTTGATAATGAAGATCAGTTCATAGAAGACACAGATTCATACTTAGAGTAGTTGATCAGTAAATTGCATGGAAAATACAGATCATCAAAAAACACCAAGCTAAGTTGAAGCACAACTGGTGCTTGTATTTTTCCCTCAGGTAGACAGTTCCTGTTCACATCAAATGGATGGAGTTATATCTGCAGAACTGACAACAAAACTGAACCCTTTGAAAAATGGGTCCTTATTTTTAACAAGGACAAGTTGTAATTATTTCACTTAAAAACAGTTCAGCACATGTAATGCACTGATATTGTTGAATTTAAATGTTTACAAAACAGAAATTCTTCCTTTTACAAACAACATAAAACATACTAGTAAATTAAACATCTACCAACAAGGAGAATGCATTAGAAATCAGATTTTTTTCTTTGTTTTATTGTACTGCCATTATGCAACACAATAAGGATTTTTTTTTAAAACATTTTAAAGTTATAAAATTTAATGTGTTTTTGTGTAAGTTAGTTTACATTTTAGTAGTTTATATTTTGCATCCGTATTTTTTTAGCCTAACTGAATGAACTGTAAATTAACTGGAAATTGGAGGTACCCTATCTGTTCAGGCAGATTACAATATTCCCACTATTATCTTTCAGAATCATGGAATTCACCATTTTTTCCCTTTTGATCCTACCTTGACAGCACTCAATAAGTAGTGTTTCTAAAGGAATGCTTTTTTTGAAATCAGGAGCTACCCCTCAGACACTTTCTATAGACTTAAGATTAAGTGGAAGGGAAAGGAGACAGAAAATTTTAAATCATCACATCAGTTCTGAATGTATGACAGAGAGGGGCACGGCTACAGTATGTGACTCGATTACCAAATAAGGGCCTCCAGAGTGCTCAGCCCATGTCAGTTCCAGATGCGATACTCTTAAGTAGACCACACAATAATTCAATGGCTTGTTGAATTTTCTTTTCAAACCAGCAAAACCCTGGTCCAAACTTTGAATTATTGCTTTTATGGCTATTGAAAGGGTTATTGACACTATTGTTCATACTTCCCTTAGAGAAGCATAGGTCCCAGCAGTACATAAATACATTATGGCCTAATGCTATGTGTTTCAGGCATTATATGTGACATGCTGTAACATGGGAAATTAATTGTAAATTCAAAAATATCCATTACAGCAAGGAAAGAGAATAAAATTATTTTTGTCTCAAAAAGTAGTGTGCTTGACATATGGTGTCGATCATATCGCCTGCGGGCTGGATCTGTCCTGCAGAGCCTCTCCATCCCGTCTGCTGGGCTACCAGCAGGGACTGGAAGTTGGGAAGTGTGACCTGCCACAGAATTGGGTCCATTTGGCCCTGCTGGGCATGGCTATCGGCAGCAAAATTTGCTCGCCACTGCTGCTGTCCCTTTACATTTATCTGAGGTGTCGAACTGCTGTCCCTAGACCTGCTCTCCTGGACCCCACACTGCCATGTCCATGGTGGCCAATGTGGCAGCCCTCGCTCCCTGGGCTGGATCTGGCCCAAAAGGAGCCCTGCAGTTCAGATCCAGCCCAGGGCCCCAGCTAAGTTTGACATCACTGATAAATGCACATATTTCTGATTCTGAAAATGATTCCTTCAGTCATTGGTACTCACATCTTTTTAATTAAGAATCAATAATTGATCCAGCTTTCTGGGGTCAGCATAGACTGACCTAGCAACACATTTTGGAACTAGTGTTTTCGTGACTGGCACAACTCCATAGTAAGGTATTTTACTGATTGAGTGTGAAATTTCTTTTCTCATGTCTGTTATGAAATCACTTAATTTAAATTTCACTTGTCTCTCTGAAAGTCACATTAATGTTAGTTCCATCTGTATTTAAACTTTACTTGAAGTGCACTGATATTTAAGAACCAAGCACATTTTGAAAATTATGAATTCTTCCTGAGGCTTTGTATACAGAGTCTTATTAAGTTTATCCTATGTTTGTTAGTTTCATTCTGGAATCTCTCTCTCAGGCAACATGGAATTGCTAGGTAGTTTTAGGGCTAATTAATCCATATCCTAGATGTCCTCTGCGTGTTCTTTATTATAGTTATGTTTACATAAACAGAAAACTTGTGTCAAGTTATATGTATTCTAATAATATAAAAGCCTAACCGTCTGTCTGTCTGTCTGTCTGTCTGTAATACTTTATTCACACTCTGATTGGCCGACAAACAGCCAGAGTGCAAAGAAGTGTTCTGACAGAAGGCAGCCTGCTGCCATGATGGTGGGGACACGGGACCGAGCAGGGGGGACAAGGCCACTCAGCTGGCCTTGCCCCGTTCCCTGTCCCCCCCTTCCCTGCAGGTATACTAGTCAATTGCCCCGCCCTGCTCCCTCAGGCCCGAGCAGGTGAAAAGCCAGCCTGTCACAGTGGGGGGAGGAACGGTGGGCCTGACCTGACCAGCTCAGCCCCCCACACCCCCCAGCCACGGCTTCCCAGCTTCTCCCCACCTTTGGGCCTGGTCTTCCCCAGCATCAGGCCCAGGCCCACTCCTCCCTTCCCCCCACTGCTGCAGCGGGGAAGGAGGGAGCAGGCCCACACCCCAAGCAGCAGGAGGGAAGGAGGAGTGTACCCAGACTGGGGGGGCCCAGGGCTCTGTTGTTGCCCACTCCGCCCCCCATCAGAGAGGTAGATAACATGGGGAGGAGTACCCCTCCTCCCCATCTCGGGCCCAGGCCCACTCCTCCCCCACCCTGCTCCCCTGCGTTGGCCCCAGTCCGCTCCACCTGTCCTGAGCAGGCCCCACACAGAGGGGGAGGGAAAGGAGGCGGGCACACCGTGGCATCACCAGTGACGGTGGGGCCAGGGGAGGACTGGGCCCAGGCCCAATGCAGTGGGGGGAGCAAGCCCAGCCTGGGGGAAAAGCCGGCCCACCACAGCAGTGGGGGGTGGAGGAGGGTACAGCAGGCTTGGCCTGGCCCAGCCCAACACAGCAGCTGTGGGGGGGAGGGGAGGACTGAGCCACCTCTCCCCATTGGGCCCAGGTCCGCTCCCCTCCAACCCCCACGTCAGCCCTGAGCCTGCTCCTCCTGTCCCCCCCACCACCGCCAGGTCGGCCTCAGCCCACTGCTCCCCACCCTCTGGCCTGGTCCTCCCCCTTGCCGTGGCTGCTGTGACAGGAAGTGGGGGGACTGGGCCTGGACCCCAAGCAGCAGAAGGAAAGGGGAAGCAGGCGCTGACAGACTGGGGCTGGATGCGGGGGGGGCAGGTCTCTATCCCTGCCCACTCCCCCCACCCCTTTCATCATTCTTTGACAGGCAATAGGCTAGTTTTTCTATAAATTTAGTGGATTGGTCCAATGATGAGTGCCAACATTAATTGGAAGTACCCATGTGAAAACCAGAGCTTAAAAGGTTTGGGGAGTTTTCAAGACATCCAAAAATGTGGCTGAATTAGTGGAACTACTTGATATAGCTGGAGACATTTAAAAATTGGAAGAATATCTTTAACTTATTGCTATCAGCAGTTGTGGATAAAAACAAAAAGGAAGGATCAAGCATAATTTTTTGGTGACTAATTGTTAAAATGGCAATATTTAAACTTCTTTAATGCTCTGTCATAAAGAATACTGTGTAGTGGATCATACCTACTGTTATCCTACAGTCTGTAGGTTTACTTATGTGAGTAAACTGAATAAAATTTACCTCAAATTACATTATTGTATATTCTGATGGTTACAGCTGAAGGAGGTTCAAGATATGAAATGATGTGGCATCTGATCTTTTGCAGTAAAATATGAAACGAATAGTTTAAGCACTGCTTCAAAATATCTGCATCAGTTGTTTCGTAAACACATTTTATAAACATTAAAATGATGATTCAAATGTTTTCAGGATTGGGGCTTGTGTTGCTAAACCAATCCTACATATATATAGTTTCCTCATCTTCAAGGCTTTTATTTTTATATTACCAGAAAGTTACACTATAATTATATTTTGTAGGAAATGCCTTGCATACTTTTGAACTTATCATGTATAATATTAAAAAACACAGTAAGTGTATTGTATAAAATTTCAAATTGAGCGCTTCACAGCTGAACACAATTATATTTTGTTACACTCTGTAAATCCAACACATTTGTCATACTTTCTGTTTTATTTACCATGACAGTCACATTTGTCTAACCATTATTTTCCAAAAGCAAGCTTCTGTTTGGATGAAACATACTAAATGAATTTGACCTTTACAATAAATGCTTGTCTCTCATTGCAGAGAGGGAAAGAGAAGAAAAAAAAAATCCCATGTAGGTCAATGATTGGATTTTAAATTATGTCACTGTTCTATCACTGATCTTAAATTTATGTCCTCCCTGGTACCTTCCATCTATATATTTTTTCCTCTTTACAGTCCTCTTATTTCCAATTGCCCTTTTTTTGACCAGTTCAATTATCTTGGTTCTAAGACCGACGTTATACAACTGGGTCACTCGCCCGAAAAGCTCTAACCCTTCCCCCAGGAGAAAACTATCACCATCAAACCCCATAAATGAGATGCTGGAACTCTGCTACCATTTTGTTCTTCAGTTAGAACTTCCCTTAGCAAATACCCCCAACATCAATATTGAGAAGGTTAAGCAGAAGTTTGATAAAAGTAGATAAAATGTATCTAGCTGACAAAGTTTCTAATATTTATGCAAATTGCTATTTGTATTCCAGAAGCATAATTTTTAAGTAGGTTAAACAATCCCATTGTTTCTGGCAATTCTGTGGGTCTCTAGGAAAATTTACCTATTACTATAAGGCTATGATTCTTGCCATGCACATGCTTAAAAGTTAGCACAAAAGTATTTTTGCAAGATTTGTATACCAGGGCAAATTTTACAAGTCATGCTGATATAAGCTAAAGGCAAGGATATCTCAGGGCAGTGTCTTTTTTTGGACCAATTATGTAGTTGAGATAGTTTTTATTGGACCAACATAGCTGGGATAAAGTTAGATGAGCTTACATTCAAAAAACTTGATAGAGACTTGGAGTGTCTTGCATGTGAAAGCGTGTCTAACCATCACCCTAAGAAATCCTTGCCTCTTGTGCAATTTCTGGACCATCATAGCTATGCCGTCACTTTTACACTACCAATATAAGTTAAGGCATGACAAACTGAGATGGTTAGACCAGTATTATCCTAGGTGAACAGGAATGTGGGCACCCAAACAATTCACTACGTAAGTGCTGGAGTCTGTGGGTAAGAGGAACAGTGGAACAAACCCTGGTCATACACTGTGGCAGAGTAGGGGCTGGAAGGGAGAGTGAACTGGGTAACAGGTCTTTTATCATTTTATTAAGAGACTCCCACTGGATGCAGTCAAGCTTCTCATTCCAGGTGCTGACAACCCTGCTAGGCTGTGGGAACTAGCTGAGGTATGCCTGTCTGATTTGGTTTTCTACCTTTCTGCTGGGGGAGATCATGTCAGACCAACCTGATTGCCTTCTACGATCAGGTCACAAAGGCCATGGATGCAGGTGTCGCGGTGGATGTAGTCTTTCTGGACTTCAGCAAGGCCTTTGACACCGTCTCTCACCCCATCCTAGTTAAAAAACTAGG